ACATACGTCGTCAGAACGAAGTCAGGCCCGACTACATTCTGACTACACACGTCGTCAGAATGATGTCAGAGGATGTCAGCCAACCCCATCCATTTTAGCTTTTCCTTCCAAGACAGAGATTATCACACCCTGCTTGGCAGGGATCCTGTACAAGCTTGTTATGTACAAATGGACAGTCAGCAAAGTAAAGATCAGGCCCTGGTCTTAACTTTGTCCTGGCGAATGTCTGTGAAGCGTCCTGCTTGGCAGGATAGCTTGTACACGGCTTGCTATGTACAAAGCAACAATTCTTTCCAGAAAGAGTTGTTGCATGAGTAATGTTTATCCTTCAGTCTGTCGCAAACACCCTGCTTGGCAGGGATTTCCTATACAGCGGACACCCCGCCAACATGAGCTGCGCAACTCCTTTGACACAATTAACTATACTCAATGATAGTGCATGTATACAGCCATCAAAATGAACCGAGTCAAAAAATCTATTCAAAAAGCAACTTTTATCAGAAAAAAACAATCTATTCAAAAAACCAAGGAAAAGCATCCAAAACAACATACTTTACCAAAAACAAACATTAAAAAAACAAGGTTTTGTAAGTATGCTTAAGTGCGCAGTAAGTTAGAATAAGTTGTTTTTGCAAAATCTCGATTCAGAAGATATAAAACACTTACAAACAGAGCATGTGCACTGTATCTAAGCTTAAGTGCTGCCGAACACTTACTGCAGCTTACGCAGTTTTAGACAAATGTATAACCTCAGTTACACTATAATATAACGTCAGTTAGGTCAACATATACCTAGGGTTAAGTTAATCCGTCCTTGTGGTTGGGCTTTGAGCTTGAGGTGGGAGATAAAAGGCCAGTTCGAAGGTTGCATCCAGTTGGAAATGTGGTCGCGCTCGTGGATCCAGGCTTGGTCGTAGTTGTCGTGGGAAGAAAGTTGAATAGCGGTGAATTGGTCCATGGTGCTGCAGGTGTGCCAGTAGCGGGGGGAAAGTTCTGCGGAGATAGGAATGTTGTTGTGGAGCGGCTTGAGCTTAGCTCGGCGGTTGTGCTCCCGGTGAGGGATGCCGATGGCAGTGGAGCCGATGTGGCGAAAGCGCGTTCGCCATTGCTGAGAACGGTGTGTGGCTGAGGGATATGCGAAAAGAAGTGCCAGGTGGATCAATCCTGTGGCGAAAATGGCGTCGGCTCGTTCGATGTAGCTGGCTTCGTGAATGAGAATAGAAAGGGCTCAGTGGAGCCAAAAAAGATGTTGCATGGTGGTTTGGTTGGGTGATGTCTGTTGTCGTTTGGTGCCCCGAGGAAGAGAATGTGCGGTGGCGCGTTGATCGCCAAATTGGGTCTCAAAGTGATTGCAGGCTTCCCAAATAGGTTGGCTAGCCATGGCGGTCAGGACAAACTGCCATCCCCGAGTGAACCAAACGATAGTGAAGGTCGTTGTAATTGGTGGAAGGATGGCGGTTGGTCATGAGTTTGACGAAAATACGGAATCATGTCATGATCTCAAGGAATCGTGCTGGAGTGAAACCAACAACGATAGAACCAATGCCGATTTCCGCCCAAGGTGCGGCACGTCCATTCCTCAAAGTGGACGGCGGGAGGAAAACCTCCGCGAAAGTCTCGTTGAAATTGATCATGCCAGTCTTGATTGTATTGATTGCCAATTCGAGGAAGACTGGGAAGGTCGGCGGGATCCAAAGGAATGGTCACTGGAGGATCCAAAGGAAGAGTGAGGCCCATTACATTGAGGCCCTCAGCGCCTTCAACCGCCATTGCTCCAGTGCCACCAGGAGTCGAGGTATGGGCGACGTCAGGGGTGAAAGTGGGCACCAAGGCGGAGTGGTCTGTGGCGTTCTGGATGTCGAGGGGAGCGTCCGTAGAGGTAGCGCCCATCGATGACGACATCAACAATGGCGGAGAGAAAAGTGAGATGAGGACACGCGAAAGTGTAGAGGCTCAAATGGCTGCAGCTGTAGGTCAAGAACTCGGGAGAAATCTGTGTACCATGTCATGATAACAGGAAAAATTCAAAGGAGGGAGAGAAGTGGAAAGAGTGCAGTATAGCGATCTACCATGCAAGTCAAAGGGTGAGACCGAGTCAAGTTTCCGTAATTGCCTCAGGCAATCGGAAGGGTAAATTAGGCCGTGGGATCCGGAAACGTATGAGTTCTCCAGTAGGCTTGATCAACTGACCGAAGAGTTCAATGGAAGGTGGAGTGCATGTAGTTGGAGAAGAGGTCATCGACGTTCTGAGGAGGGTGTCGGAGACGGAGGAGTCATACTTTGGTTTGGATTTGTACTTGCGTGACTTAGAAGTTACTCATAGACGAACTTATCAAAACTCGTTTAGTTTAGAAGTACTACTGAGCCTACTTATAAGCACACTCGTAAGTAGGTTTGTATTGCAGGAGCCACACGTTTTGGTCGTCTTCACGTACAAACACAGCTCCGTGTCCCCTCATGAGCACTGAAACCGCCAGGTTTTGTGACAAACCATGACTCTTTCGAATCCAACGCGTCAGACCTTGTGTCTGAACACCCGAGAAGGGTTCTAGAAAGTGTGCTTGCAGCTCGTGCTCAGCACGTTCTGACGCCGCGAATCTCGACAGCCTTTCTTTTAACCAGTGCTGCGAACTGACCGGGGACAATCCAACGGTCGTCCACAGACAAGGCCGACGAGCCACGCTTCTTCACCAGCTGCCAACGCCGACACTTTGAGGCTTCAATTCGCGCAGACGACACAGATTGCTGCGCGCATATTTTGTAGTTTCCTCTCACGTGCGAAGGAACCAAGGATTTTGCTCCACAATTTTACATTAGCGCATATGAGCACTAATGCGGATGGCCAAGTGAAACAGCAGAGCTCCAGCGGGGTTGTTTGTGTCGGAAAGCTTTGTACACATATCATAGCGCCAATATTGGCGCTTTTTGAAAAGTACTAGCCACCTAAAAAGCCTTAGAAAGACAGTTAAAAGCAAACAAAACAAAAGCAGACTAAGAGGGCAAGAAAGAAAGATAGGTGTAGTTACGAGGCCCACTTAGTTAAATGAAAGTAGAACGCGAGCGGGACATTTTGTCTCAAACCGCCCGGGTAGCTAGCAATAGGAAAGGAGAAACAGAAGGAAAGGCACCAACACACAAGTGTGTTGAGTGCGATTTCCTTCTGTTGCCCGAATAGCGGGTGGAGGCCCAGGGGCAGGGAGGTAGGGGGGAGGGTGGGTTAGGGTGGTCCGTAGGCCTTGCCATCATTGTCATTCAAGTAAAGCCGATTTGGGCCGGCGCAACCCATTGTCTGAAAGACACCTGGAACCTAAAGAAAGGCCTCAAGAAACGAAAAGCAACAAAAAGAGAGAAAGAACCGAAGAGCATGAAAAGCACACATGCAACAAAAGCAGTCGGTGGTTTGACATGCCCGCGTCCTAAGCCCCGCCTGTGATTACTTAGACGGGCGTGAAAGTGCAAATCCGAATCGGTTCAAGTCTCAGTAAGCCCTGCGGCACAGTTTAAGCCCTGCGGCACCGGATCAGCGGTACCAAGCAAAGACGGTCAATCCACAAAAGTAAGTCCGGACTGGAGTGTGAGTCTCAGTAAGCCCTGCGGCATGGTATCCCCCAGGATCTGGGTCTATGCACATGCAGCGCCCCTCGACGAGGATCACACCACAGCCCTCAGTGGGACCCTGTGGCGAAAACACACTTAGATTGTTGCTCGCAAGAGCTGATGCCAGTACGAAGTCCCCCTTGACTTGATTGAACGGAAAGAACGAGAACCGAAAGGTGGCTGAGTCGATGGACTTGTAAATGAACAAAGTTTGGAAATGCATTAGCCGTTTACTGCAGGAAACAACGCGTTGGACAGCTTGTGAACAGTTTGGAAAACGCAGGTACGTGACTCCGGCGTCCAGAGTCATGTCACATCCGATCAGCAGTGTCTTTGTTAGGCAGTGACTGCTGAAAGGACCACTGCCCCCCCGCGCTGAGAAACTATATGTTAGTAGCGATACCAGGGGCCCTAGTAGCGTTCTTTGTGACTCAAAACCTTAGGCACAGGTCTGGACACACACACACCACACTTAACGTTCAAAATGCACTTAGTGTGATGCACGCCCATACAACAACATTTCACAGTACTGGCCTAAAGTGAAGCTTCACAGGAGCAGGTTAACGAGAAAGTGATAATGATGAAAAGAATGCGAATGGTACACTGCACAGTGGGTTAGAGACTTCTTCTGGTTGTCTGTTCCAGCGGAATGTGCTGCAGGGAAGTAGGCCGAAGCCAGCAAGACCAACCCATACGCCAAAAGCCAATGTTGATACCCAATCGACAAACATTCAAAACACCATGGACAACAGCACTTTCGCGTCAGCAGTGTCATGTTGTTTGCATTTCTTCTCACCGGCTGCCACTCTTGTTGCTGCTTTTTTGGCGATGCTGAAATGTGCGACTGAAAATTTGCACCATGTGAAACCAAATATACTTTGTTGCCTCCCTGATCACCCAAACCTTCACACCTTCGACTTCTCTCTCATACCATCACAGCTGCTGAACGCAACCACGCTGCCTCAGGATGTGCAGCCGACTGCTTACACTATACCACCAGCAGGTCACACAAAAAACACATCGGTCATCGGCCTTGCCGGTCTGGTCCAAATCTTTGTGCCTTGATTGGACGGTGGCATTAAAGCAGGATGCTGGAAGCCTTAGCCAAAAAATGCCGCAAAAGGTTCGATTGCAATATCCTTAACCTGCATCTACGTGGCTGCCACTGCTCTGCAGAAGCCTGGGCCAGCCAAGGTGGTGTCTCTCTTTGTGTGGGCACGCTGAACTCACCACAAATCAGCTCTGCGGTCTTGTGAGTTGTTAGTGTTTTGAACAAGCCTTCTTGCCCGGCTCCCAGTGAAGAATGTCAAAGTACATCCCGTCGAAGAATCTCCAACCTCAGTGAGCAAATGCTTGACGATGCTTTTGGAGCGCTTCCCTGACCACATTTGAAGACTTGTTGGACGAGCGCGTCTTCCACGCTCTTCAGTGGCCTGCTGCGTTCACATCCCACATATGTATGTCTTGCAGGGCAGCACAACACACCACGTACCGCGTACAGTGGCATATGTGCCATGTGAGCAAATCAGGCCACTAAGGAGAGAGTTACGCTCATCCTAAGCCAATCCCCTGGTGCTGTGCTTAAAACTTAGCAGCAAACGCGCTGGAGTTCGAGTCTCCATGTTCTCATAATAGGTGATGAATGGGCCTATGAGCTTGCTCACACTTGTCTGCTGGCTAAACGGTAAACGGAAACGGGTGAGTAGCAAATGCCAACTCAAAAGCACAGCTCAGTCCTGTGGAGTTGTCCATCGCGTGTCCCTTTGTCCACACGTGGCCTCAGAGTCTGCAATAACCTCAAGCCGGCCCTAGGCATTCGTTGAATTGAGACATTGAGGCCACCAAGGTTCGGCCTTAACCTGCTAATGTTTGTGCTCACTTTCAATCAAAATAGCGAAGAAACGGAGGCAAGCAAGGGATATGCAATAAAGCTTCTAATTCTACTGGCAGCTTCCTCCTACCCGACCCCCCCAACGGCCCACCACAAAAACAAAGCTCACAAACCCGCTAGGAGCGCAGCAGCGAATCTCATCGCTGGCAGTGCGGACCTTAGCTACTTGCCTGATCTCCTGCACATTGTGTGCAATAGATTCCGTGTTGATTTGCGGAGCCAACGCCAAATGGAACGAACATGTGTGAGGGAGGCACTGTCTCATTGCCACCATAGGTTGCACCCTTCAGCCAATCTGGAGGAAGAAGGCCAACACCCATCTCAATCACCTTCTCATTGCTCGCATGCAAGCGTGCGTGCATGCTTGATCTCGCTGAGATGGGCCTTGCAGCTTCCGCCAGGTGTGTAATAGTACCTGTGCTCGCCACTGCCCACACAAAGCGCAGCCAATGCACATTACATACAATCTTAGCTTCACGCGTGCTGCCATTTTGACGCTCATTGTCAAAAAATGGTTTTTCCTCAGGTCTCCTGCAAAGCGATTGGAATCAAACAACTTTCGCAAGAAAGCTTCCACCTGTCAATGTGAAGGTTCCCCCCTGCAGGCCAATCGTAATACAGGTCAGTGTCGCCTCAACTCAACAAGTTGAAAGGAGCATGCGGCGTTTTAAGAACTCTGAGCTTCTTGTGGAACTCTCTGAGGTATGTCAAGTCTGGGGCACACTTGGCCATTCCGATGCTTCAGCATGGAAGCGTGGAACCTCTGAAAAGATACAGGTCATGCAACTGTTTGCCGAAATCCCCTAGGCATCCGGGCACTTCTGGCCATGGAGCTGGCTCCAAAGACGAAGTGGCCATCACATTGGCCTGGGCAGTCAAGAGACATGGGTCATCATGGCCTAATTTGCATAACACAGCCCACTTATATAGTCCCAGTGTGAGGGTCAAACCGCTGTCACAAGACTGGCCAGCAACATGGGCCTTCGAGCAAATGATGTGATTGTTATCAGCTGGCGGAACCCCACAGCAAAATCAAAGCGCCAACTCTGCCTGTACATAAAGCAACGAAGGGAAAATTAGAGCGCTTCTCTGCTGGGCCCAGATTCACCAACTATGTACACGTCATGCAGTCATGCCAATTTCTTGCAAAGCAGTGTGCATGCAGTGGTCCCAAATTGCACTACAAACGAACTTGGGCACTCGCTTTTGACGCTTTTCCTCCAAAACCGGTACGCTGGCACCCTGTACAAATCAGTCTCTTGTAACAAACATTGCGGGCCAATTTAAAATGTTTGGGAATGTGCTGTTGGCCCGACCAGCATCCATGGCGATTCCAAGTTTGCATGTCAGAACAGTTTCATGAGACCCTTGGCCCCAGCGGAAGTCCAGTGGGAATAGTGAGAACGCTGATTTGGCACTACCTGGGCTGAACCAAGGCTCCCATAATCCCATAAGTTGGTTCTGCTGCTTCGTTCCACTACTTCGACAGGCTCACAGGTTAAAGACAGTGGTTGTGCGCTGCTGGTGTGTTCCGCATGGACCACCATTCAGTACTGGCACGAACATGCACTGGCCTACGTGACGTGCAAAACGGGCTTGTTCGCACAAAGGAGACAAGTCTTAGACACACACACACACATATATATATATAGACCAAAGCGATGCAAACCGGCTACCGTCCAACCCCCACAAAACACATCGACAGGTTGATAAGCGTCAAGGGGCGAGGTGAAAGCCAAACACCTCATGGCTAAAGGCCTTGAGATTCTTGAGCTGACAACGGGTCGGGGGGCAACACCATCGATCGAAGTGATTGAACAGAGCGCTCGAAACCTAGCTTGAAGCACCCAAGGTCAGCAACGGACGCAAGTCAAAGTCCGGACCTCTCCTGTCCCCTTTTCCTTCCTTCCTTCCTTCCTTCCTTCCTTCCACTTGTTTGCCTTCGGTATTGTCTCCTCAGCTCTACTGTTTCCTTGTCTTCCTTCATTACCATTTACACTCCCTGAAGTAATCGTGGAAATGGAAAAAATGCACTTGGACGACCATTTTTCTCTACACTTCCGTTTCGGGGAGCGTATTGAGTTCACTTGACATCTATGCACACTCCGGCGTACGGAGCGACGGAGCAAGGCACTTCATCCCAAATGGGGGCACTGCGTTCTCTGGAGTTTTCGTCCCAGGATTCGGATCGATAGATTTTTTAAGTATACTTCATAGTTGTTTCAGACTCAGCCAAACCCATGTTAACACCTTCTCATGCCCAGACAGCGTCTAGTCCTAGAGTTCTAGTTCAAAGGGCGGGAAATGACCAGTATGGTCGGTATTGTCTTAGTGTGGAGTGCAGGTTGGTCAGGAGTGGAGTTCCTGTCTCAAAGGACACTGGAAACTCATTAAGATTCATGCACGGCGTGAGTTGTTGTGAACTTAGCCAAGTCTTCTGGCTAAGAGCAAGTGTTCTGGATTTGGGGAATCGGTCATGTGACAGCAACAGAAGTTGGAAAGGTCAAAAACACTTGGTGCCAGGTGCCCGGGAAAACACCATGACTCAACGCAAACTCCCATCCCTGTTGAATTGCTGTAAGTAATTAATGCAAAGTTAGGATTAATAAACCTCCCCTAGTTAATCCAAGCCCACAAAGCCGCCGGAAATTGCCCAAATTAAAAGTATTATGCGCTGTTGATTTCCCCCCCTATTGTCTAATTTTCTACCAACAACCCCCCCCAGTTAATCCGAGCCTACACAATCCAAAAAAAGTAATATTACTTTTAATAAGGGGTTAACTAGTGGAGGTATATTTATCCTGACTTGACATTATACTTGCTACTGCTGCTACTACTACTCCTACTACTACTACTACTGCTGACTGCTGCTGCTGCTGCTACTACTGCTACTAGCTATTGCTGTAGCTATTGCTGCTGCTGCTCTGCTACTGCTGCTGCTGCTGCTACTGCTGCTGCTACTGCTACTGCTACGTGCTACTGCCACGACCACCACCACCACCATCACCACCTACTACCTACTACATGTTTGATGAAATCCTTAAAAATGTCTAGGGCTCAGGGCCTATAAATTGCCTTATTAAAAAACAATTAAGAACAATCATTTGACAAGCTCACAAAGGGTACCCCTCACAAGGGCCGGTCCCCCATCAATAGTCTGCACTACTACCCCCTATTAATCTGATCCTGTGTCCCTGGCCTACTACTACTACTACTACGACGACTACTACTACTACTACTACGACTACTACTACTACTACTACTACTACTACTACTACTACTACTACTAC